CCCTTAAGTTTACAGCATATCAAACATTAACACACTATATACATATACACCTTGTATACAGTATATTTGTTACATGATTTTTGTACATATATAATTATATAAAAAATATCATGACCTTTAAAAATTAATAAAACATATTCCAAAGCCAAAAACAAATTTATAATATACAACATAACTATTCATGTTTTATGAAACATGAAGTGATCAAATCTAAATTTCTCTGCAATTTATGTATTTCAATGAATGAATGAATGAATGCTAACTACATGTGTAAACTTATATATCTACACATATATAAAAATATCTACACATATATTTTTTTAATAAAAAAGAATTCATGATATCCTCTTTAAAATGCTGCAAAAAGTAATTAAGATGGCATGTATACATTCTTAATAAAGTCTCAGCAGAGGAAAAAAAACACTGATATGAACAGAACCAAATGATATTTCTTCCAAATGATTCTAAATTATTAAAATTATAATTATTAATTTAGTTGAGAGATGGCACGTAATAAACTACATGTTTTTTTACCGATTGTAAACAAGATAATTCAGATGACAGTGCACTTATTCATACTCCATAATAATAAGAGTTGAATTTTTTTTAAGCACTCAACATTGAGATCTATTCATTAGACCTGTTTTGATGATTGTTTTGTTTTCTCTTTTGGAATGCTTCCAAGAAATAAAAGCATTCAGGGATGGTTCTGTTCATATCAGTGTTTTTTTTTTTCCTGTGCTGAGGCTTGATTAAGAATGTGTACATGCCACTCTTAATTACCTTTTGCAGCATTTGAAAGAGAATATCATTCTTTTTTTTCATTAAAATATACATAGATAAGTTTACACACATGTATTTCAGTGAGTTATTGCAGAGAAATTGTTTAGATTTAATTGTTTTTCATGTTTCTTAAAACACAAGTCAACTTTGTTTACATAACAGTTTCATAAATAAACAAATACTTAACTATATATACTCTTAAAATTAAATCCAAAAATTACCATTTCAAAGGTAAATGTTTTCAGAAATTTCTGAAATCCGTCTTTAGAGTCACTGAAATCTTTATATAGAAAAGCATTTGAAAAACACCTTGTTTTAAAATTTTTTATTTTTAGAACATTTGCTGCATCAATTTGAGTATTTGACTCCTTTAATTGACTTATGACATGTTGAGTATTGAGTAGGCCTCTGTGCAGTTTGTGTACCTGCACACCCTTGTTTGCTATATTGAAAATGCCCACATCCAAGGGTCTCGACTGTACTACTTTTGATTACCTGTCTCAATTCATAGCTATTGTTAACTCTTCTGCTGTTTGTAATGATAGAAATTCCAAATCAGATATGAGTATTTGCATTTTTTTCTAGTATATTTGGATTTATCTATCTCTGGCTGTTTGGGCAAGAGCTGTTGTACTTAAAGAGTGCAATATAACAGCTTTTAGAACCTGGATATGGTAAGCCATCCAGTTTTCATCCACTAAAGAAAACTTACATAAAGAGTTCAACTAGCCGTATGTATAACAGAGAATGCATATGGCTACATGTTCTTTAAATGTTTGTGAGTGACTCAAAAAATCCAACAGTCCCCTCATTAGGTGAGTATAGTGCATGAAAAAGTATGAATATGTGCAGAGAGAGGAGACAGACTGTGAAATGCTACATCAATAACACTGTTCATCAACTGAGCAACAGACTAGACAAACATAGAAAAGATATCATGAAAGATGATGCTTCAACAACCAGAGATAGAAAAATCCAAATATACTAAAAAAAAAAAATGCAAATATTCATACCAGATTTGGAATTTCTATCATTACAAACAGCAGAAGAGTTAACAATAGCTATGAATTGAGACAGGTAATCAAAAGTAGTACAGTCGAGACCCTTGGATGTGGGCATTTTCAATATAGCAAACAAGGGTGTGCAGGTACACAAACTGCACAGAGGCCTACTCAATATTCAACATCTCATAAGTCAATTAAAGGAGACAAATACTCAAATTGATGAAGCAAATGTTCTAAAAATAAAAATTTTTAAAACAAGGTGTTTTTCAAATGCTTTTCTATATAAAGATTTCAGTGACTCTAAAGATGGATTTCAGAAATTTCTGAAAACATTTACCTTTGAAATGGTAATTTTTGGATTTAATTTTAAGAGTATATATAGTTAAGTATTTGTTTATTTATGGAGCTGTTATGTAAACAAAAAGTTGACTTGTGTTTTAAGAAACATGAAAAATAATCAAATGTAAACAATTTGATTTTATTGCCCTTCTATTTTTTATTTCATTTCAAAGTTTATATATAAATTTGATTTTCTTCAGTTCTCAAAAAACTTTCAATTTCATAGAAATTATAATTTAAATTATAAATTAAAATATATGGAAAATTTTAAAATTAAATTTTTCTAAGTAAATATTGTTTAGTACTACTAGTGGTATATATATATATATACACACACACATCTTACCACTGTAATTTTATATATATATATATATATAAAATTTATCTTAGTAAAATATGCAATTTTATATTAATGCAGTTTAACTTTGGATCATTAGTTATTTTACCAAGATTATAACTGCTAACATCTATTTAGATGTCTTAGACAATCATATATCACTTACCAATAACTGAATATTTATTGATCAAATAACAAAATCCAGCAATAGCAAACCATTTAATGGCACTGACATTTTCAGTCTTATTGAAAGACCACCTTCAGGTGCTCATTACAGCTTATAAAAAAACAGAAAAATACAATGATATAAATTAAAATGCAATTGGAACATTACAAATTTCTTAAATATTAATTAATTTAATGTTCACTGAAATGCTTGGAAAAAAAAAACATATATTCAATATATTGAACAACTTAAACATCAAAAACTGTATATTCAAAATATCAAAAAACTTTTTATTTTACTTATTTATTATTTTTTCAATATTTTGAACACACATTTCAATATTTAAGTTGTTTCATATACTAAAGATATGTTTTTTACCAAGTGTTCCGTGAACATTAATATTTAAAAATTTGTAATGCTCCAACTGTATTTTAAATTTATATAGTATTTTTCTGTTCTTTTATTAGTTGTAATGAGCACCTAAAGGATATCTTTAAATAGGATCAAAAATGTTAGTGTCATTAAATAGTTTGTGATTGCAGGATTTTTAAGGTTTTTTTCTTATTTGATATCACTTTGCTATGGCAGCACTTTGAAGATGTTCATACTTTTATGAAGACAATATTTTATATCATATTTCCTATTGTGATGGACTAATTTGGAGATATGAGTATCTGATAAGCAAAGTGGCCAGTTTAGAACAATTTTTAAAACAAATTTGAACGACCAAAAGACAAAACAAACTGGCTACTATTTTGAAGGATGAATGGATTTAGTTTTGGAAACCATATATGAAATACTAGCAAGGTTGAGGCCAAAGTTTTAAACACGAAAACGTGTACGTCAGACATTCAGCGCCTCTTTCCTGTAAGCCTAGAAGTTTGACAATAATGTTTGGATTCCACATGATTCCACTGACTATCCAAACACCATTGTCAAACTTCTAAGCTTACAGGAAAGTGGTGCTGAACGTCCGACGTACATGTTTTCGTGTTTAAAACTTTGGCCTCAACCTTGCTATTGATGACGAGATTGTACAGAAATTAGAGATGCTAATAGAGAAAACAATCGCAGTGTTCATTACTTATTTTCCAGTAAATACTATATTATTTGTAAGTTTATGAATAGCAGTGATAAGATGGTTTACTTAAAACTAATAATCATATTAAATTTTATTTCTAGACTGTTGTCAACAATGTTCCAAGCAATATGATGAAAGTATTGCAATTACATTTCTGCCAATATCAATACTGTACTAAAGTAATTGTATCAATCATTTCTTTGATATTCAATACAAGTATTGATATCGTAAATTTTTCTATTATAATATGTGTATTTGTATCACAATTTGCTAATTGCTGAGCAATATTTAGTGATAAAAATTATTTCTGATTTGTTTAAAAATTTTTCTTAACCATTACTCTTACAAATTTTTATTTTTAATATTTTTGTCCTATATCCTTCCTACATAGATTACTTAAATCTTGGACAAATTTTTTTTTACATTCTTGATCAAGTTATCCTAGAAATAACCATTGCCTGCCATCTCGAATTTACCTTTTCTTTCTTTCTTCTGTCTTTTGATGATTTGATAAATGGCATACTAAAAACTAATTTGTTAGATGAACCAATGTCAACAGTTGAAATATTTTCAACTCATAATGATTTGTGTACAATTGTAAGAAGATTGCAAACTGCCAATTCATATTCACTTCATAGCAGTTTGTATGCTAGTGAGAATTCTGATATGAATCTAGTTTTATCAGAAACTTGAAACTTAATTACAGCACTGATAATTCATGATATTACAGTTAAAAAAAAAAATAATTGAAAGATTTAGGAATATGTGCAAAGACATAGTAGTATTCCAATAAAATGTAAATTTCATTGCTGTATTGGAACAAAGAAGTGAATCACTTAGAAATGTGGCCGTCAATATTTCAAAATTTTTTTTTATAGAAATACTATTTAAATATGTCAAATCAGCACTTAAGTATTATTCTGATTTTTCTTTTTATGCAATTTCAGAATTTGATGTTTGATAGAAGTAATGTATGCATTCAAACTGATTTAATTAGTTTAAGACAAAAAAAATTTATAAAAATGTCAGTTAAAACTCATCTGATATTTTGCAATTTTTTTTCCTTTAATTAGCTAATTGAACATATAAAAATAATTTACCTTTAAGTAATGAAATTCAATAAACTTAAATTACTTGGGAAAATTTTAGATTCTGTCTAAAATAAATTATCTTAGATACTAAAAACATAAGAACTAATCAAATAAAATAATTTTTTCAATCACACTATCTCAAGCAATCAAATATATCTCCAAATATTTTCAAATTTAACAATTAAAATTTAGTATTTACCTAATTTTTCTTCGGTTGTTTCCATTTTTTCCCAACGGCTTATTACGTGAACCTGTGATAACTATTATATGATAAATTGATGAAAAGATTAGTATAGTTCAGGCAAAAAAACAAACACTGGATAAGTAAAAATTCCCAAATATAGAAGTTGATGATATAATTTTGAAATTTCAATAAACTCTAATAAATAAATTATTATATTTTACATTTCCAAAAAATTAATATCTGAAATATTTTAATCTCTTATATTTTTACTATAACTTTGATATAAATATTTAGTATTAATAATCAGCTAATAATATTATGTTATATAACAAAAATCAATAAAAATCATGAAAAAATATATTTTCATATTTTCATCTATATACATTTCAATATTTTATCGGAACAATTCTAGGTACATATTAGTTCAGTTGAACTTCTTTGTTGTATCAGATATAATTCAATAAGTATCTAGTTCAATTTCTATTACAGATATTATTTTTTGACAAAAATTAATAAGATTCAATAGATTGTATCTGATCAATGTGTAAGATTTAAGTTTGAATGAATAAACAACAGCAACAACAAAAACTAAAATAGAAATTCTCTCTAATTTAAATACTTTAAAGTCTTATACTCATTCAAAATCTCAGATGAAATTTGATAAAAGATAGATCAATAATTTAAATACTTTGATAAGCTAAATATTTACTTTGTATTCTAACAAAATATTTATTTATTAGAGTTTTCTTAACAGAATATAAAGAATAGCAGAATAATTAAAATAATGTAAATGAGAAATAATTTACAAGAAATAAATTATTACACAGTAATATGAAAATTATGTTTATAAATAAACTAATATGATTATTGTAAGAATATAATTTTATTATTTAAAATAGAATATCATACTTTAATTGTAAATACTTTTAATTTACATAATATAAAAATTTATTTTCAAGTAATAATTTTTAATACTATATCATTAATTTATCTCTCAATGATAATATGCCTATTTCAGAAATAAATTACATCAAATATTTTAAAAATTCTAATGATTTCAAATCATTCACATTTATATAGGGATAATCATTTTTTTGAATATTAGATGCATAGACTGTTTAAACTTCTAATGATAAAAAAATAATAAATTTAAACATTACTACAATAAGTTTTAAATTTAAATTCATTATTATTATGATATTGTCATTTTTAACTACAAAACTATCTTACTGTTTACCTAAATTATTAGGGAGAAAGAGAGAAATTTTCTGTATGATCTTAAGCATTATTGGCTTTATCATCTAGCTATCCATTTAGCCACAAATGAATCTCTTTCAAGATGGTAAAAGAAAGAGAGAATCATACAACAATGGAAAATATCTATTTATTTTACTTAGTAGAATCAAAAATAAACTAAACTTTTAATGGCTGTAATTACAACTGTATGTGTATTTGAACATTTTCTTAGACACATCAGTACTTGTTTAATATGCAATAGAAGCCTCTATTCAGATCAATTACAACAAAAAACAGTGAAGTATTGACGTATGTAGCAGCCCAACAATATGTATCAATATATCTTATATTGATAAATATCAGACTTTTATACTTTCAATATTATCATACATCAGTAATAACAATTATTGATATTTATTTTAAAAACTTAAAAGTAATGTGTTCACATTTGCAGACTATAAAAAATAAGAGTAAATGCAATAGCAAATTTGAAATTTAAATTATTTCTAATTATATTACTTTAATGAATTATATTAAGAACAATCTTCTATACTTTTCCAGCAGTAAAATGTTTAATTTAAGAAATACAAATGTTTTTGGCCTTGTTTTTGAGCCAGCCAATGCATTTCTGATATTAAACGTTTTACTGTTGGAAAAGTGTGGATGATTGTCGTCAATTCAATTCATTGAAATAACAAATCCTTAAAAATATATTGTAATAAGTTAAAAGTATTGAAATAAAAAAAATTTTCCTGTAATGTTATCATTATTATGGGAAACAAAATTCCTTAATTTGAAGGAATTTGAAATGTACTTTCATGGAAAATTTATTCAGTCAATCTGGAAACCATTATGTAATCTGGCACAATATTTAAAACAGCATCAGTATTAAAGTCAAGTATGATATGGCAGCTTTATCAAAAGAAAATTTAGTAATTATTTGTAACCTCTGCTGAAAATCTGAAAGTTTCTGGAAGTAATAAATGACATTACATTAAGACTGATCATGACATAAACTCAAAAAGCATATTTTTTTAACAGGTGATGAAGAATTTTGGAACACATTTTGAATAAAAATATTTATTATTGCAGACCGTATTACTTTAATTTAGTAATAATTAAATCATAAAAACAGGACATTCAAACAAGTATTGTTTATAGCTATGCTATTAGGTAAATAATTTGATGATAAATGTTAACCGAGTTAAAATTTTTTTAGATTAAAGTTTAATAGTTACTTCATAGTGCAATATTTTAATTATATATTGATATATTAATAAGGGAGTTAGTCAAATATATAGATATTCTGCTTATCAAATGATTATCTGAAGTACAAATTAATTGAAGATAAGCATCTAAGTGAATTTATAAGTGATAATTATCAATTAAGATTATGATTTTATCTACAATGCCCACAATACATAAGCAATAAAAAAAAATTTAATGCATTTATTTTATTTTTTGTTTTTTTTTTGCTATAATGAGTTGATAAAATATAATTGTGGACTAAAGTGTAATAAACCTGTTAATGAAAACCAAGTAATAAACTGTCATCTTTAATAATCTTTGTAATATTCAACTCCACAAAAATGAACTTAATTATAATAAATATAAAAAAGTGCATGACTCAATCCTTCACTTACATTAAACATTTTTTGAGACAAAATCTGTCTCATCTTTATATTGTTTAAGATTATAGATGTAAACATTTTTAATCTTAAAAATAGTATATTTAAATGGAGAATAAAAGTGAACATTATCTGCCTTTAAACATTCAAATCAGGTAAAAAGTTTTAAAGGATTTCAATAATAACATAAATACAAAAAATAATAATGAATGCACAAAATGACATGTGACTGAGTGTGGCTCTTACCATCATCAAAACACCACAATCTGATACACATCTGTATAATATGTTAGATATCTGTATAATGTATTTATTATTCTTAATTTATATTTTGCAATTTTTTATATTGCATTACTTTATAATTTTATGCATTCATCATTATTTTTTGTATTTAAATTGTCTTTGAAATACTTTGAAACTTATGTCATGATTTAAATGTTTAAAGCATCTGTCATGAAAAAATGTTTAATCTAAATAAAGGATTGACTCCCTACATAAAAGATTTTAGCATACATTTTAATTTTTAATAATATTAATAATCTAAAATTAATAATATATTTCTTGATGACAAAGTCATAAGAAGGTTTTTGAAGTATTTTCTTTATAAGAAAAAAGTACTTGATGTCCATAATTAAAGAGGAGGGGTTTAGAGCTCTGTAGAAAGAATCTACTGGATAAAGCTGAACCAAAATTTGATTTATATATTGTCCCAAGTATGCAGTTTCAATTTTTGGAAGAAATTTTACTCCAAATTTTGGCTGCTAGGTAAAATTTGGTGCTGATATCCTCATATTAATGTGCATATTACATATGTTTACTAACAAACTTCAAGTATGAAAGAAGTTGCAAAAAGCTATTCACAGTTCTTCAACAAGTAAACAATCATGATGTGTATTACTTGTTAAATTCTTCTATCAACAAAAGCAGCAATACCAGATTGCCCTTAAAGAATTTCAGCACTTAAAAGGTTTTCAACGAGGTCCTCTAACTGTTGGGAATTCTAGAAAATGATTTCGAGTTTTCAGGATATTGGAACTTTTGCTATGAAACCAGAATGTAGTTGCAAAACCAATTGGACACCTGAAAAGATATTGCTACTGTAGTAGTGGAACACAGAATGGAAAATTCTCACAGTAACAGTAGTGCAGTAGCAAATTTATTAGAAAACATGCAATATGACATTAAGACAGTGGCACCAAATTTTGTCCTAGTGGCTGAATATTAAAGTTAATTTTTTTCCAAAAATTGAAACCACACACTCAAGAAAGTAAATAAACCAAATTTGGTTTGAATTTGCTTAATAGTTCTTCCTACAGAGAGCACTGAACACTTACTCTTTAATTATGATCACCTTGAACATTGGATTTTTTTCTATAAAGTAATTTCCATTCAGTGAATCTTTCAACATGTACTGTATATATATCGGCATTCAAAATCTAAATACTTTTGAACCCTTTCCTGATGCTGAAGGCTGATTTATTCAATATGATTACTGCCAACATTTTGTCACACACAAAACATGTCAACACTTCAGATATTTACACAATATGTTGGAATATGACTTGACAGTCATTCTGAACATGCGCAACAGCATTTATTTCTCTTGAGAGTAGTAAGAACACATCTAACACAATTTTAATCTCATCATTGACAAGTTTGACAATGTTACAACAAGTGAAAAATCTGACAGATTACATTTTCTGCAATACATTGGTGACCTCGTTGTAAAGGTCTCAAGTTTGTTCAAATTAAGAAAATCTGTGCATATTGTGGTTTTGAGTGATAAAATGTTAGTAGTAGTTGTGTTGTGTAAACCAGCCTTAATAAAGATGATACAGAAAATCCAAGTCAGGATGAATAACATCAGAATTCAGCAATTCAACAGATAAAAGATCTTGATATAATATATTCCTAGTATTCAATAAGTTTTTTAATATTATCAATATTTATAATTAATTAGAAATGNTATATATTTTTTTTTTTTTTGTTCTTCAAAAAATTTGTTACTAATTCCATACAAATGATTATGTAAATTTGAAAATATTATTCACTTCCCAAATATTAAATAATTACTGTAATTTTGTACATATTACCCACAGGTTATCTCTGTTCAAAAGCAAATTTCAAAGCAGGCATATATTACATGACATGCAGGTTATCTCTTAATTTTAACTTGAAGTTATAAAAATGATCCAGCAACTTTCTCTTTGTATTTGCAACATATCAAGTGTTTTTAAAATGTGTGAAAATGCTTTGCACACTGCATCACAATTTTTTCCAAAAACACAAATTCTCACAAAACTATTTTATAAACGGACTAGATTTTAGTGTATTTTAATTTTTTACAGTGAAGAGTTAAGTGATCAACTCTCAAACCCATATCATTAAGTATTGTAGAATATGAATGCAATTTTCTTAATAAAAGCAATATCAATGATAAATAATAGGAATTATTTTATTTACCACTTATTTACACAATATCTGGTAATGCAGTCATTCTTGCCAAAAGCCAAACCAGCTGTGTTACCTCCTTCAATTCATCTTGACCTCAGGTGGCACTTCAAATATCAAGTATACCATAGTTATTACTAATATTAAAGTATTTTTCTATTTAATTTTCTCAACGTTATTTTAGCATTTACTATTATTTATTTATTTTATTAATAATTATTTGATAAGTAAAACAGAAATGAAGTGAAACAATCAAAACATTTTTCTGTTTGATAGATTTTTTTATTTTCAATACAATACAGTTTAGGAGGTTTTCTTCTCAAATATTAAATTTTTTCTATTTCACTTATTGATAATTGACAAGACTATGTCTTCTTTATAAAATCATACTGCCTGCTATGTCACCAGCTTAGAGGTATGAAGGAGTACATGTCAGGAGTTGCAATTTGGCACATAGTATTAAGGGCCAAAATCATGTGTGCATAAAAAAACCAGACTTGTAGGTACTCAGAGGACTGAGAACTGAGTCAAAATAAAATTCAAAATGGCAATACTCTCTTACAAACAGGCAGTAGTGTGAGATTTGAGCATGTGTTGGTGGTTGGAAAGTTGAAAATGCAAACAGTGCAAAATCAAATTTTGACAAACACATGTGTTGGGAAGTTTGAAATGAAAAATCAAATCTTTGAAAAAAAAACCCATTTACCTGTCCGTGTTATTCCTGACATATCTCTGGTCGTCACATGCTGACCTTGACTGGTTGACCCAAGATATCTCGTTTCATCATCGGAATGTTTTTGAAAGTAGATGGCACTAGTCTTTATAATTTTATATTAAAACTAACTTCCGAAATATAATTTGTTTTCTTTTTACATTTATTTATATATATATATTGTTTGTGCAAAATAAGAAAATAATTTCGGACAATACAATAACCAGGATTATTTTTTTTCAAAAATGGGAAATTTTCATTAGGCATCAACAAAAATTCAACCCAAGGCAACACCGAATTAATTTCACCGAAAATGCCTTGTGGAAGTGGCCGGCGAAGTTTGAAAGATCACGCTCAAAACCAATGATACCAAAGAAGATTGGAGAATGAGAACGTGATCGGCATTGAGCGTCAAAGTGATCCCGCTTAGTAGTGAGTCTCCGAGACAGTCTTGTTGTATCTATAGTGAACTTGTAATGTAAATAAAACAAAAAAAATAAGAAGGAGAAAAAACAGAATGTTTGAGATAATAATCTCAAACATTCTGTTTTTTACCATCTAAACTGCATACCAACATCAAGGGTGTATCCAGAAAAGGTGCTTATGGGACTGCAGCACTCCCTTGATACCAAAGTAATTAGTTTAGTTGCTTTAAAATTAAAAATATAACAATGTGCATCATATGCAAATAATAAATATAACAATGTGCATCATATGGCTTCAATTAGGTAAGATTAAATGACTAAAATAATTCTAAGCTAACTGAATAACATTTTCTGAAAAATGACAGAGGTCACATGCCTTGGTCCCTGAATTTGACTTGAGCAGCATCCATATTCTCAAAATCTTGGATATACCACTGACTAGTGTGTTTGGATGTATGGGATATATAAAGGAGCAAAGTTAGGCAAAGATGGTTAATCTATTTTAGCATTTTTATAGGATATATCCCCATGCAGGTTATGTGTCACCACAGGTTATCCATACAAAATTACAGTAAAACCTTTTTTTAGCATTTAAACATGCAACATTATATGTAGTATCATTTTATTCTAAAAAATAATAATTAGTTTACAAATAATCACATTATAATCTGAGATTATGTTGTAATGATAGATTATAAGTAATAGTAAATATTTTCATTTTTGTGTAAAATGTTTTCTTTCACTTAATTCACTTGATTAATGCATATATGTTTAATTTTCTTTCACTTAATTTTCATTCCTAAACATATAAGCATTAATCAATTCACAAATATATATCATCAGTATAATTAATAATTAACATCAGAAATATGTATACTAATACAAAGAGTTACATTCTCTGTAAACTGGACTGTTCTGTAACAATGAATACACCACAAAAACCTAAGTTCCATCCATTAATGTAAATAAAGGAATCACAAATGTTTTGACCTCTTCCTGAGATCTGCTTTCCTTTATTATATGTAACTGAATGAAGCTTGGGTTTTTTTTGTGGCGTGTTCAGTGCATATTAATATTTTCTCAAATTTGAATACAGAAAAATTTATTGCCATTTGAAAAGAATAACTCAATTACTCCATTCACATAAGCTTAAATCACCATCAAAGTACATAAATTTTTCAGAACCTTATTCTCATTTTCAATACATTAAAAATGAGAATAAGATTCTGTTATAAATAAAAATCTATATTATTTAATGATAATTTAAAGTTATGCATTCAAACAGAAAGATAAAAATGAATACAAGAATCCATATATTAGTAATGTAAAAAAAAAAAAAGAATATTTAATAATTTATCGTCTTTAAAACCAGAGATTTGAACTGAAAGATTAAATGTAATCACTAAATACTAAGTTTTTTTTATAACTAAGAAAATTCTTGGTCTGTATTAAAATTAAATAAAGCTACAGTTGCTAATTAAAGCAACAGATTCATATAAAGTACAGTATATGCATCTATTACATCATCATTAACACATCTCTTATGATAAGAAGTAAGACAATCATTCATCACATCAAAAAATTTTTAATTTAATTTCATATACATTTTAATTAAAATTTAAGAGAGATTTTTAAAATTTGTAGTAATAATAACTAGAATTTTAAAAAATATATTTAAAAAGATATGCAAAATTTATTGCATCATCATGCTTAATTAATTAAATAATTTATATTTGTTTCAGATTTATTTATTGACATGATATTAATGATTATATAAAATAAAAAGTAATAAATTCTTCTCATATATTTTAAATAATTTTTATAAAATGCAAGAACTGCAACTTACTTGAAGAGTTTTATAAACGTAAAAATTATTGATATATAGAAAAAAAATGTTCATTTTATTTTATACCAGTAATCTAGGTAACATATTTTACTTAAAATTATTAATTAATGTATAATTGATTAAAATTAATTATGTAAGAAAAAAAAATTGTAAAAATGATGCAATAAATCTTTCCATTTTTATTAAAAAAAAACCTCAATTTAAGTGATAAAATAGTTAAAAATAAAAAATAAACACTAATTTACTTTTGTATTTTCAGCACATTCCATGCCTTCTTCAGAAATAGTGTGGCAAATCTGTTAGACAAAACATATTACTGCAATTCTTTAATGTTTTGCCTAATGGAATTACTCTTATTATTTCTTAAGATAGCATTAAATGTTTCAAAATTAAAATATATTATAATTTTTATGAATTTAAGACCTTGCCTACTTGCAATTTTCAAAAATTATAATAATTCAGATAAAATTTGCACAAAAGTAACTAGTGTAATTTTATTAAGTTCATTTCAATTTGTTCAAATCAGATATAAAATGACAAATGATACAATAATTTTATATTTTAATATATATAATTTTATTATGTTCATAGGAATAGCTATTAGATGATAAATATTGGAATATTTTAAAAACTTGTGGAAGAAGTTACTGAACTTGCAAAATTATCAGAAGACATAATTTAGTTAAAAAATAAAGTTTAATTATCAACATTTAACCAACCTTATGAAGATTACTAAATAAATACTAAAATTTCTTGATTAAATTAGTTACTATGAAAAGAAATTTAATTAAAAATTAAAAGACAATGAATACTGGAGACATACTGGAGAGAGGAAAGAAAACACAAAATGCATTTATGGCAAGATATATGACAGTGAAACTGTGAAGTAAAATTGATTATTTGCAAAACAAGCATTGACTATTTGTCATTTGTTCTAAAAAGAGAATTCAACAAATCAAAGAAAGACAATACAGTTCCAGCAAAGTAGACAGATTACTGGTAATGACATAAATAAATGATCCAGATAAAGTTGTCGTTTTATCAATTTCAATCAAGACAAATATCTATAACAAAATGGCTTTAATAATCAAAGAAGTCAAATAAATTTAAGTTTAAGGCCCTGTACACACTAGGCGTTTTTCAACGAGCGTTTAGCGGAGCGTGCACACTGGCTCGGCTTGGAAATGGATGTGGAAGTGTGTGGCTCCTCTATCGTCGTTATAAAAGACGACGGCAGAGGCAAAGAGAATTTTGGGTGCACCCAATATTACGAGATAGACTGACGCATGAAATGTTTGCGACGTTGTATCCAAAACTAAGACAAAATAAATTCAAGTTTTTTAATTCTTTTAAAATATCTATAAAATCCTTTGACGATGGTTGGTGTCTTTTAGATATCATCAATAAATAGATCAGTATCGAAATGATCGTTTTCCATTTCAGCACATATATCTCAAAGCGCTCGGCTGACGCCCGCAAAACGCGCGATCGCATGTACGGTAACATGGCAGCACATATATCTCAAAGCGCCCGTAAAGCGCTCGCAAAACGCGCGTTTTAACAAAAATCTATAAGCGCTCGCAAAACGCGCGTTTAACGCGCGCTTGGCTTTTGAGTGTGTACGGCTACATAGAACTCTTGGTTCTTTTAAACGCACGTTAAACGCGCGTTTAAAAGCGCGCGTTGAAAAACGCCTAGTGTGTACAGGGTCTAATCTCATCCCCAATACTTGCAATAAAGATTTAAAAATGGGTTTCTTTTCTAGGTTCAATGTTTTTACTAGAAAGAACATTGCAAACATTTGAAAAATACAAAATCTTGAAACTTTTGAATATGATGCAGAAACAAATATTTTAATATTATTATTTCTGTATATTTAAACAAAATATTTAAATTACTCAGTGTGGTTCATAAGTTCTAGAACAGTAGAGTTGTGATGTATCAGCTAATGTGCTAATTAAGAAATATCAACTATTGTCTGTTCACTTGCAGTATGTTGCTAGCATACATTCAGAAACTTGCTAATTGTAACATATAATATAAACTATGTTTTTTGTTGTTGTAGTTTGAATTTGAAAAGTGAACAGAGAATTGTGTTTAAATTTTGTTTTATATTTTCTGTTACAAAAACCCTAAAAATGATACAAAAGGCATACAGTAATGAGGCTCTAAACCAGTCTAATATTCCAGACCAAAGAAAGTGAAATTCCAAAAGTTGTGTATCAAAATTATGATTTTTTTTTACTCACAAGACATAGTTTAAAGAATTTGTACCAGAAGGAAGAAAGGTAGAAAAGTAAATGCAAAGTTTTATAAAGTAGTACTGGATCATCTTCCGAAATCCATTCAGTGTGTTCATCCTGTCAGCATTTTAGTCCCAAGATTTTTCCTGCTGCAGATAATACATCCACTTACAAAGCTACAAGCATGTGTCAACTTTTGACACACAAAAAAAAAAAAAAAAAAAAAATCCCTACTCATAATCACCTCCTTACCAGATTTGCCCTTTTTACTATTTCTCAAGTTAAAATTGAATCTTAATGGAGAACAATTTGCAAACAATCTCATCATTCAAAAAAGCTGTGACCAATGAATTAGAGACAATTAGGAAAAATAAATTTTCTGTGGCTCCCCAGAAACTGTACCACCACTCTAAAGCTATATGCTAGTGGATTGTACTTTGAATAAAAAAAATACATATTGCCTTTCTATCATAAGTTTTTTATAATTCCTGTCCTAAAATTTATAGACCACACTATGTATAGGTTTACATTATTGCCTGTTATAATCAAAGAATGTTAACACATTTCTTCAATAGGTAATTTGGTTTTTTTATTTGCAAAGCAACCTATATCCAGAATTTAACATCTAAGTTTGGTGTTTATATTCACAAATCTTTTAGTAATCTTATGATCAAGATTATTAATTATTTGATTCTTCTAGAATTCACATTTTTATTTCATATGCATAAATAAAAATTGATAAAATATGTGCAGTTCCTAAGTATTATATATGCACACCCCATCTATGTTTAGTGCTACTGTGTATGATCATGAAATATAATGTAGAAGATCTGAGATTTTTCTTAGTTTGTGAACTCTTGGATGTACAATGTTATATCATTGTTCTCCAAGAAAGCTATTTTTTACATACATTTTTTCCAATTTACTGCAAATAAAGCAGTTTGAATAATTTTGAGCAGTTTTAATAATTTTAAATAATTTCAGAATAAAATTACTTTAAACATTTTGTACTACATTCAATAGCCTATTTAATGATTCTTAATTTAAAAAAAAAAATTTAAGTTCAAGGAATTACATGAAAAATATAATTAAGTAATTTATGATGATAATTTTTCAAAGAATCTGTAATTTTGTCTTAACATACGATTAAGTATTTCTCAATATACAACATATTAAAATTATTGTATCATCTGTCGTATTGCAATTTTATTAATAATAAATAAATAAAAATAGTATTATTATTCAATATTTTCATTAATTTAAAATATCATAAGAAATTGCTGATTGTAAACTTAAACTTATCTTCTACAAAAAATGAAATCGAACATGGAATTCTAATTAAATTTATTACACTGTATATTTTTAAAAAATTTTTTAATGATATAAAATGAATAAAAATATACCATAAGTGTAATAAATTATAGAGATCCATATTTGCCAATTGTTAACGGTTATATTATCCAGATGAAACTGTAGGAGTTTTTCATTATTTTTGTTTCTAATCTGTTAATATACTCCTTATGAATTATTTTGGTAAACTTTATTACTTAATAAATAAATAAAAATCTGAGAAAAAATTTAATAAAATAAACATTTCTTTCAATAAATTTTCTAATTGGAAATATTCTCTATGGAATTTATGTAATATCTACACGGATTTGTTACTTCTTTCATTCACTTTCACAATAACTTAAATATTTTATGATATTATTTTTGATGTTAAAAGTAATATGATTATGTTACAAATTA